AGAACTGAGAAAGGCGCCTACATACCATCTGGTTGTGAAAATCCGCTGGGATTCTCACTGCCAGGGAGAGACAGCTGGAAATGCTGGCACCCCCTAAAGAGCCAATCCACAAAGTTTCGTGTGCATCCACTCAACTTGGGCTTCAGCAGAGAGAGGGCAGAGTGGACTGGAGTTGTCTGAGGAGAATGTAAGGTTGTGGACTCTGGAGATAAGAGCTCAGAGGGCATCCCTCTGGATTCCTGTGCTGAGTCATTCCCCCATACTGCAGAGGACATCTTTCTCAGGCAGACATTTATCTTCCAAGCAGCTTTTGCCTGGGGAGGAAACAATTGCCCCATCCTGCTGGAAAACCTCTCATTCTAACATGTGGAGTTTCCACAGCCTGAGGTCATTAAAAGAATCAGATTAATCAGCCTGAAGCCAGAGGTAGACCTCAGAGTGCTTTGAGTCTTTGATTTGTTTCTGGACCTGAGCCTTGGAAAAGGAGACTTTGGTGTGCGTCTTGGTTCTGTCCAAATGCACCCAGTCCCAACAGAGGGGACTTCAAGCAGTGGGTTGTTGATAGCTTCAAACAAGGTACTCAAGGCCAGTCACAAAGAGCTTCTGACATTGGCTTGCACCGGAGGCCTTCGAAAAAGTCTGCAAGTCCTAGCAGGCCTACCTAATACATAGAAACAATCTCAAATAGGCAGCCAAAATGGGGATACAAAAAACAAGCCCCAAATGAAAGGACAAGAGAAATCTCCAGAAAAAGAGCTAAATGAAGTGGATACAAACAATCTATCAGATATAGAGTTCAGAATACTGATTGTAAGGATGTTTAACAGCATGAAAAAAGATATGGAAACTATGAAGGAAATTAAGAATGTCACAGCAGAAATAAAGAATACATTGGGCCCTGCCGGGCGTGGCGCAGTGGTTGAGAGTCAACCTAGGATCCAGGTGTTCAGGGTTCGATTCCCGGTCAGGGCCCATGCCCGGGTTGTGGGCTCGATCCCCACTCGGGGGAGTGCAGGAGGCGGCGGATCAATGACTCTCTCATCATTGATGTTTCTATCTCTCTGTCTCCCTCTCCTTTCCTCTCTCTAAAATCAATAAAGATATATTTTTTAAAAAGAATACATCGAAAAGAATAAACAGCAAATTAGAGGAATCTGAGGATCAGATCAGCTAATTAGAAGACATGGTAGAAAAAAAATCACTCCATCAGAGATCCAAAAAGAAAAAAAAAACCAATTAAAAAACAGGAGGACATTCTAAGGGAGCTGTGGGACAACATGAATCGAAACCATATTCGCATCATACAACTGCCAGAAGAGGTCAAGGTAAGCAAGGATTAGAGAACCTGTTTGAAGAAATAATGGCAGAAAACTTCCCTAACTTGGTGAAGGAAAAGTCACACAAGTTCAGAAGGCACAGAGAGTCCCAAGCAAGAAGAATACAAAGAGGCCCACGCACAGAAACATCAACTAAAATGCCAAAAATTCAAGACAAAGAGAAAATATTAAAGGCAGCCAGAGAAAAGCAATCTATTACCTACACAAGAGCTCCCATAATGTTGTCATCTGACTTCTCATTAGAAATTCTACAAGCCAGAAGGGAATGGCATGAAGTATTCAAGGTAATGAAAAGGATCTGAAACCAAGATTACTCTATCCAGCAAGGCTATCATTCAAAATAGATGGTGAAATAAAGAGCTTCTCAGACAAAAAAAGGCTAAAGGAGTTTATCATCACCAAACCAGCATTGCAGGAAATGTTAAAGGGATTGCTATAATAATAAGAAGAAATAGAGAAACATAGGCCTAAAGAATTACAATGGCAATAAATAAGGACCTATCAGTAATAAACTTACGGACTTTAAGGGAGAGATCAACAGTAATACAGTCATAGTCGTGGACTTTAACACCCCACTGACTTCACTGGATAGATATTCCAGAAAAAAGCCAACACAGAAACAGTGACTCTAAATGGCACACTAGATTAGATGGACTTAATTGATATTTACAGTACATTTCACCCCAAAGCTGCAGAATATACATTCCTCTCAAGTGCACATAGGTCATGCTCAAAGATAGACCACATGTTAGGACACAAAACAAGTCCCTGCAAGTTCAAGATGTTTGAAATCATATCAAGCATCTCAGATTACAAGGGCATGAAATTAGAAATCAACTACAGTAAAAACACTCAAAAACATTCAAGCACATGGAGGCTATATAGCATGTTATTAAACAATGAATGGGTTACCAATAAGATCAAGAAAGAAATAAAAAACTTCCTGAAAACAAATGAAATTGAACACACAACAACCCAAAATATATGGGACACAGAGAAAGCAGTCCTAAGAGGGAAGTTCATAGCACTACAGGCCTACCTCAAAAAGCAAGAAAAATTTTTAGTAAACTGTCTCACCCTACAACTTGAAGAATTAGAAAGCTCCCCTGTGAAGCTGTCTGGAACATGGCTTTTGTTTTCTGGGAGTTTTTTTAAATTACAGCTTCGATTTCATCAGTTCTTATTAGCCTATTCAGGTTAACTGATTATTCCTGATGCAGTTTTACATGATCTCACTTATATATGGAATCTAGTAAACAAGATAGTCTGAGGAACAAAACAGATCCAGAGACATAGAAGCATGGAATAGACTGGTGAATCTCAGTGGGAAGGCAGGGGTGGATGAGTGGGTGGGGAGAGATTAATCAAAGAACTTATATGCATATATGCATAACCCATGGACACAGACAATAATGTGGTGAAGGACTTGGGGGTGGATATGGGGTCGAGGAGATCAATGGGGAGAAAATGGGAGATATCTGTAATTCTTTCAACAATAAAGATAAATTTAAAATATGGTCGGAGCACATGAATAGATACATGGAATACAGGTGGAAAAAGGACATATGAAAAAAATCCTCAATGTCACTAATCATCAGAGAAATGCAAATTACAACTTCAATGAAATACCACCTCACACATGTCGAAAGAGCTATTATTAATAAATCCACAAACACTAAGTGTTGGTGAGGATCTGGAGAAAAGGCAACCCTCATGCAGTGTTGGTGGGAATGCAGATCAGTGCAGCCACTTTGGAAAACACTATGGAGGGTCTTCAAAAAAGTTAAAAATTGAACTGCCTTATGGGCCATCAATTCCAATTCTTAGTAGATATGCAAAGAAACCCAAAACAGTAATTCGAAAGACTATATGCACCCTTATGTTCCATTACAGTGTTATTTACAATATTCAAGATATGGAAGCAACCTAGGTGCCCATCAGTAGACAACTGGATAAAAAGTGGTAAACATATATAATATATACCATGAAATATTACTAGGCTAAAAAATTTGACATTTGTGACAGAATGGTTGGACCTAGATGGTATTATGCTAAGTGAAATAAGTCAGATAGATAAAGACAAATACCATATGATTTTACTTCCATGTGAAATCTAAAGTACACTACATATGAACAAACAAAATAGAAACAGACTCATAGATACAGAGAACAAACTTATGGTTGCCAGATGGGAGGAAGGTTGGGGGACTGGGAAAAAAGGTGAAGGATTAAGAAGTATAAGTTGGTAGTTACAAAACAGTCAAGGGGATGTAAAGTACAACATAGGGAATATAGTCAATAATATTGTAATAACTATGTATGGTCCCAGTTGTTACTGGAAATATTAGTGTTAGCACTTTGTAAAGTATATGATTGTCCAACCTCTATGCTGCCCACCTAAAATTAATATGAATTATTATTGAATTGTAAACTGAATTTGAAAAATAAAATAATTTAAAAACAAAAAAATATAAAATTTGCTGATGGAGTAACTGTGCATTTGTGGACCTAGGACAAATCTTAAGTAGTGACACCAGTCCCCTATTGGATCAACCCAAAACTAGTCATATTTAGGTGCAAAGGCCCTATATGTAACTTTCTATAAATGAGCGTCATTCAGTAGAGAGTGGCAAAAGTAGCATCAAATTTTTATTGATAAACAGCAAAAATTTCTGTCTGACAGTGAGAATAAAAGATGGAAACAAACTGATGGACATTCTTGTCAGGCTTGTTGTGGAAGCCTCTTAACAGTGAATAGTTAAAATAATCCATAGCCTGAATCATGTAAATAATTCACTGATAGTGTTTGTTGAAAATAACACAGAGTTAAAAATAATTTCTGTTTCATGATAATTTGAAGATTCTTTTCATTTTCCTACATTTAAAAGTATTTAAACACCTTCAAAGGTCACTTAAAAATCATACACATATAATTACCTGTATGCCAGTATTCGGAATAATTCAGCTTTTACCAAACTTACCATACTAAATATCAAAAGAAACAGTGGCCATATTCCACTGAGCTCCTTTCTGAGGCTCTTAACTGCTCCACTGAACTGCATCTATGTCTGAGTCAGTACAGTTCAGACACACTTGAGTATTTAGCATTTTATACAATACCATTCACTATTTTGTACACCAACAAAGATGGTAGGAAGACCACTAACCTTGGAATGAAGTATAAATGAGTGAAGTGTTCAGCCTCACTTTTCCCACTTATAAAATAGGGTTACCATCCTTATACAAAGAGGCTTGGTTTCACGTGTTCTACAATATGCTGGCTTGGCATTCTGCACATGCTAATAAACATTGCTTATATGTGTGATGTAATGACTGAGAAGGCCACACAACAACTGTCTAAGAAGGACCAATTAAAATAGAAAACCAATACACATTGTTGAGTTAAAATTATACTTTCCTCTGGTTTAGAAAGGATTGTACTTTCAAGAACACAAAAAAAATCCTAAAGAAAAAGGGAAAACTTATAGGGAAGGATTGCTCATAGCTGCATATTATACAATCTTCACATTTTCAGCCAATTTCCAGGAAATGTTTGCATTGCCTTTTTATGTTTTCTTTCCAACAGCTATGGTATGTCACTATACATGACAGACAGACAGACACCCTGCCCCCCACAGCCAGTCTTCTTCCCTTTCCCTTCACCTTGAACCTCAGAAGCTCCTGCATCTCCTTTCTCTTGATGAGGTGTAATATTCTGAGTCTCAGTGGATGACTCCTCTTTCTGAGGTTGTTCATCACTGGGCTGCTGGTCCTAAGTGTATGTGTGTGAAAATGAAAAGTTTTGTTGTTAATACATGTCAATGATAAAAATTTACGTAATACATACATATAATCATAAATAAGAAGGGCATTTTGAAAACATGATATATTTAGTTATTTTTGTTGTTAATCCTATTTTTTCCACTGATTTTTTTGGGGGGTGGGAAGTGGAGGGAGGGAGGTGGAGAGACATAGAGGAAGATTGATACAAGAGAGACACATCCATTGGTTACCTCTCACTGTGCCCAGATTTATGGAACCTGCCACCCAGGTACATGCCCAGAATTGAACCTACGACCCTTTGCTCCCTGAGACAAAGCTCTAACCATTGGAAAACATAGGCCAGGGCATGATATATTTATTCTTAATGATGTTTCTTTTCCTTCAGCTTCGTTCCTACAAGAGGAGCTGCCCACAAGGACTTCCGAATCTCTTTTAAACTCTGCTGCAGTCGATGTGGGCAGTCTTAATGAGCACGAGAAAGGAGTCATAAGGGTATTTCCACAGGCAGCACCAGAATGGAAACCTCCTGGAACAATGTTTCTTTACTAAGGAATCCTCCTGGACCAATGTTTCCTTCTCTTTACCAGCAGGGAAGCTTTTGGCTCTGTATCTATATTCTTGTAACAGAACTTTCAGAAAAATAAATTTATGTTAATAAAATCAAATATTAAAGGACTCACAACCACGGGTCCTGCTGGCTGGGCAGACTCTCCATTTTCTACTAGTTTTATTTTCCATATTGATGTTGTTCTTACACGCCGACTCATTTCACACTGAAAGTAGAACATTTTGATTTGGAAAATGTACTTAAAAAGATAACTATACCACTCTCATGGTTAAATGATTTCTTTCTTTTTCTTCTTCTTCTTTTTTTTTTTTAACATTGAACGTACTTTAAAAATAAGTCCCAGGGTAAGTAAGTGTAAGTGTACAGCCATTTATGTCACGGCCAAGTTGGCTGTGTAATCACCTCAAGCATATGACAGAAGACGACCTTTGGTTTCACAACTGGATTCCCCTTTATGAAGCCAGTTAGGAAAATACTGGTTAAAACTTGACAGTTGAGTCACTACTGATTTTGTCACACTCCCATGATAAGGCCCATTTCCCCTCTTAAGTAAAGTTCAGTTGGATCCCACAGAAAGATTCAAGGCTCTCCATGCTGCCTGTGCTCTTTCGGCACCAGGAGACAGAGGTGATTAGCTGCGGTACTTATAGATGTGCGGCTTCTCCCCGGGCACTCTGCTTGGTGCACTACAAGTCTGGGAGACGCAGTTAGTCCCACAGCATTCCCGTTTCTAGGCCCTTCCTTTACCGCCCGCCCTGCCCCCTGCCCAGGGCCCCAGGGAGGACTCAGGATTCTGTGTTCTGCGGGCAGTTCCCGGTGCCTCCAGGACCCAGATACCTGACATAATGCCCCCAAGACTCTTTATCTGTCCCCTCCCCTCGTCGGGCCACCATCTTCCTTGTCCAGGTCACGCCAGGACTTCAAGCGCCATGGCGGCCTTGATGCCTGAGAGGAGAAAGGCGATGACTCGAGCACCTTCCCTCTGGGAGGCCACAGATCCCGCAGTCCCGCCCCTACCAAAGCCCGCAAGCCTTCTCCTCACACTCACTCGTACTTAATTCAAGAGGGCTGCTCTGTAGACCTACCAGTTGAGTCTCAGATAGTAAAAAGGAATCAAGATGGAAGGAACACGTTCGCCTCTCGCCTAGCTGTCGTCCTAGAACTCGGACAGCAAGGCGCATGCGCAGCAACGGACATGGGCTGAAATGGGCATGCGCGGCAATGGGCATGTGCACTAATTTGGGGAAAGCAGTGACTTTTCATTTTCCCTCCACTCCCGCCAAGACTTGAAATTTACCTGGTTGTCTTAGAGTGAGGAAAGGTCAAGAGTTTTTATTTTTATTTTTTATCTCCTTCCCAGTCTTTCTTATGATTCCAGAAAGTTTTTGGACAGACTGCCCCAAGGGTGTTTTTGTGGAGAATGTGTCTCAAAAATATGGCTGTGACAGAAATTGATGTTGTTTTAGTACCTATTTTTACGCCTGCCTCAATTAATCACTTCCTTCTCTGCTTCTTGGTTTTCCGTCATGCCTACAAGGACATTGCTTACTTCTATAGATTATACATACTCACCAGTTTTCTTTACTTTTTTCTTTTCTTGCTGCATATTTAAATCTCTGGATAGGCAACTGATCCCCCTGAGTACACCTGTGGTCATTGAGTCAATGTATTGTTAGAAGTATCCTTAAATAATGGTTCTAGGGTCTGGACTCAGCCCACTATCCCATTGTGTGCAGCAATGGTGACTATGCTCATATTATACTTCTCTAGTATAGGTCCTTCCGGTAGCTCTGAAGTAAACAAAAAAGTTATATGCAACTTTTATCTTCTTAGGCAAGAGATTCCTCCATTAGTAAAGTGATGCGGATGAAGCCAGTGGAATATTACTTTTGTTAATCTAGACAATACTCTGTGTTCAGGTTTCTATTCCATTACTTTTACATAGCTTAGCAGTTAGTAGTGTATGTAAGGCAAGGAGAAGAATGTGGCCCTAATCAGAAAGTAGCACTTTATGAATAAATTAAGATATATTGTTGCCCTAACTCCTGTGTATTTCATCCTTTGGGCTTCTGAATTTATTGGAGTGATATTTGTTTAATAAAATTACACAGGTTTCAAGTGTACAATTCTATAATAAATCATCTGTATATTGTATTGTGTTTGCACTACCTAAAGTCAAGTCTCCTTCTGTCACCATTTATCTGCCTTTAACCCTCTTCTACCTCCCCCACCCCGTTTTTCCTCTGGTAATCACCATATTGTTGTCTGTGTCTATGAGTTTTTTTGCTTAAGCCCTTCACTTTTTTCACCCAGCCCCCAACTTCCTTCCCTCTGATAGCTCTTAGTCTGCCTCTATTGTGTTTGTTTATTTTGTTCATTAGATTCCTTGGCTCATTTTTAAATTGGATTGTTTAGGTTTTTTTTGGTGTTGAGTTGTATAAGTTCTTTATAAATTTTGGATATTACCTTCTTATCAGATGTGTCATTGGTGAATATGTTCTCCCATTCAGTGGATTGTCTTTTCTTTTATTGTTGGTCCTTTCTTTGCTGTCAAAACATTATTAATTTAATGCAGTCCCATTTTAAATTTTTTTCTTTTGTTTTTCTTGCCCGAGGAGATGCATCAGTAAAAACATTGCTTTGAGAAATGTACAAGGTTTTACTGCCTATGTTGTCTTTTAGGATTTTTATGGTTTCAAGTCTTACATTTAATCCATTTTGAGTTTATTGTTGGGTATGGTATAATTAGGTGGTCTTGTAATCCACTCTTCTATTTTTGAAATATTGTCTCTGTTAAAGTGTTTTTGTAAAAGATAAATTGTTAACTAATACATAACCCATAGATAAACAGCCTATTTGTGAAAATGTTTCAGGAACTGACTTCAAAGGGAGATGACTGTAGCAACTGGACATTCTGGCTCCAAGACACTTGTTGACTTTCAACCATAAAATCCAGACCTCCACTTGACCAGTTTTGAGATAACCATCAAAATGGACTGTGCTGACTTACACATTGAGAACTTTGAATCTCCCTCCCTCTGATTTCTTTGTTCTGCTTTCCCTCTCTCCCCTAATAAAACCCCCTGCTTTCACTTAGATGTTAAGGTTGTCTTTAGAACCAGAGTCTGCCATCTTCTTAGGCTGCTGGTACTTGAATAAACCTTTCCTTACATCAGCACCTCCCTCTCCAGTATTTTCTTTCAAAGCAGCTGGCAGCCAAACCCAAATTCAGTATCAGCATTTGGTGAGCCAGCCAGGAGTAACTCTCAGCTGCTGGAGCAGGCTGACCCTGTGGCAGGGACTGCAGGGACTTCCAGCAGCTGCAAGAGTTCCTTATCTTTGGGACTCTCCCCACTCTCCCTCTCACAGCATCAGCTGCCTATAAATACTTTGCTGGTGAACGGAAACGATCTTAGGGGGTGTCGATGGGCTCCAAGTCTGCTTAAGTTGAATTGGTGTGCACACTGTAAATCCTCTGTTTCCGCTGTTTGGGCCTTGTGTCATTTACACCTTACCAGGGTCATTTGTGGTAAATGTTGGTGTGAGATGAGATTCTAAGGCTAGTGTCCCAGTCCCTCCTTTGGGAGGATTTAGTTTGAGAGTACTTGTTTGTTTGAACTTTGTCTTTGCTTTGGGTTTTGTTTTTGTTTCTGTTTTGAAATGGGCAGCTTGGTCTCCATCCTATCAGAGAGTCTATTAGATTCTTTTTTAGCTGACTCATCAACCTACTGCTATAAGCCAATGACTAAGAAAAAGATGATTCTATTGTAATACTGCATGGCCTATATATGTGTTAGATTCTAAAGAAAGGTGACTTAAGTGGATCCTTGAACTATTACACTATCTTACAATTGGAATTGTTTGGACAAAGGTCTGGTAAAAAAGATGAGCTATCTCATATACAAGCTTTTATGTCATTGCATAACAAAGATTCTGCTCAGAAAGGAACCAAATTAATATTTCACGGTGGGGAGGGAAATGATCCCATCCCCCTCCTGATAGCAAAACTCTAGAAGGAGAAGAGAATGAAGAAATGAGTTTCTTGAACACCCTAACCCTGCCCTTGAGGTTCCTGGAGCATTTTCGATCTCCAGGGAGATCATGCCACCCTTAAACTCTGTATTAACTGCAGAAGCAGCAGCGGTGATTGCCCCACCTCAATATGAAAGAGAAATAGGAATGGCCTCCCTTACTAAAACCCACAGGGCACTCACTTTGTCCAGGGAGTTTCCTATTTTGGGGCAGGGCAAGAGCCTTCGAGGCAATTCCCTTTGAATAATACCCAATTGGAGGCATAAAGCAACAAGACCGACCAGCAGGATACTATTCGGCTTATACTCTATTTTTGACCTTAGATCTCAATCGGAAAAATACAACTTCCCACATAAGGATCACACACAGAAGGTGGATAATATGTTTACTTCTATTTTTGCCACTCACCACCCTACATGGGAGGATCTACAAACCCTTATTTATTTATTTATTTATTTATTTATTTATTTATTTATTTATTTATTTATTTAATTTTTATTTAAA